GCTGATGTAGAGACTATGGATAAGTTCCAACATACAACAGTGATAATTTGGAAATTTGCCAGTTCAGAATCATATTCTGAACTGGTGATTCTGCTCCAGTGTATGTGACTACCTTTTCTGGACCAGATAAATGTTTGTGATAGTGATGCACCTTGTTTCTTCCTCATTAACATGCCACTAAATAACATTGGTGCTCTGATTTTGGCAAAAATACAGAGGAGCAGCTCTTTTGCTGTGGCAGAACAATGTCAATATTCCTGATATAAAAGTTCTTGAAACCATGAGAAAGCCGTGTTGGCCTCAGGGCATGACGAAGGAGACACACATTATGCCCTACGTCCTTTGGCATCTCTTGTGCCTGTAAGAGTTGCCTGTCGCCTAATTAATTGCCCTGTCTGAACTTATGTGAGCTTTGAATATGTATTTGTTTGTTTGTTTTTGTTTGTTTGTTTGGTTGGTTGGTTTGGGATTTTTTTTGGCAGTCCCTATGCAAGTCCTTTCTTTGAAGCTAAAGCAAATTTACCTTGATTTTGCTCTTCATTCAAGAAAAATATTAGATATTCATTTTCAAGATTAATATAGGGTTTATTTCCAAGATTAATATAGGGACTTTTCAATAAAATTAATTATTCTTTTAATTTTCTAGCAGTGTTTCATAACTCCATTCTCCTGCTATTTTCTGTCGATTAAACAAAGTTTTCCAGTCCAGCCCTTGCCTGAAGTATTTTTGTAAAACCTGCATGTTCTTCTGATTGTGTTTTACTGTATGCAAATACAAGCACTTGGCAAAGTATTGCTTGCTGAATGAAATTTAAGTATTCACAGTATTTGGCCACTTTCAGTTGCCCCTTCCTGACTGCTCCTCTTCCAAACACAGAGACTTAATCAAAAGCCTCTAGGCTGGGAAGAGATGAGACTTTACTTTGCTGCCAGTGCTTTGAGGCACTAGAACAGGTTGCCCAGAGAGGCTGTGGATGGTCCATCCGTGGGAGTGCTCAAGGCCAGGTTGTATGAAACTCTGAGCAATGAGGTCTTATGACACATGTCTCTGTCAATGGAATGGGAGTTGGAACAAAATCATCTTTAAAGTCCCCTTCCACCCAGGCCGTTCTTTGAGTCTATCACTGTTTCCTTTTTCCTCACAGCTTCTTATTTAGAACTCTTAACCCTGTGCTGGATCAAGACAAAGCTTGGCCCTCTCAGACCTTCTCAGTGAATGGCTTTATTTGAAACAGGTCGAAACAGGCTGAAGTGTTTTTTACCAAAAGCATATCAGTGTTTTTGGAGTTAAACTGAGTTTCTAGAATGGTGCTTTTACCCTTGCAGGGTGTCCTTGTTCACCCTGAGCTTTTGCTGTGAAAGCTGATAGCACATCAGGTGCTCAGCATTTGTGGGTAAGCAAGAACACACCTGGCCTCGCTAATGACTACTCAGCGCCACTTAAGGGCTGATCAGAGGTGAAGGCTCTATTTACAAAGCAAAAATTGCACTAGTCTGAAACACAGCATACAGTTGCAATGAAATCTTAGTCAGAAGGCAATGCTCAGCATATTTTAGGATCCAACACCAAAAGTGATATCTGTGACAGTTTGCTTACACACCACTGGCACTTGAAGCACCAAGACTCGTTAGCTATCCCGTGACTGACCTTCAAGGTTTCTGTGTATCTTTCTCTCACCCTTCTGTTTTCTGTGAGAGCACCTGTCTGACCCCTGAGATACATAGCAGCTACTGGAACCTCTTGTGGAAAAGAGATTAGAAATTAGTAGTGCTGAACATCAATCTCCTCTCAGAATGCTTGGCAATGTGTTAACAGGATTAGGATCAAAGTATTTCCTTCCCCATTGGGCAGCCACCATGTTGCTAACATGCTTTCAATGAAACAAGAAGTTCAGCCCCTCCAGGAATGATTTCTAGTGATCATTAGCTACTATCACACATAAAGCCAAGCAGGTGTAGGCCATCCTTCAATTAAAGCAGCCTTTGTGGACTACAATGTCAAATACACAAGACAGAGATGAAACTGCTTAAAATTGCTGAAGTTCTTTTTCTCTCCCTGATTTGGACACTTTAGTTCTAGTAAAGAAATAAAAGATTATTGTCTCAGTTTTATACCTGAGTAGTTTTGTTTGGGTTTTTATTACAATAAAGGGTACAATAACTCATTGCAATGAACAGTTGAAAACATCTGTGGCCTGTTCTTGCAAGGCAGTGTGACATGTGAATTAATGACATTTTTTTGCATTGTTTCTAAAATTCGTCTTTAGAAGCTAACTTGAGGTGTTATATTTTCATTCACCTAAGATTTTTTTTCATGGAAGTTGTTAAAAAAATATTGCTACATGGAAAAAGCATTTTGGAAAACCAAATACTTTTCAATATAAAGTTTCTGCAGAAACAGCTTGATTAATTTTTAGGAACCTTAATCTCCTCCTTACTATAACAGCTAATTAATCTGGGAATAAATATGGCTTGGATACTGTATAGTAGAGATGAGGCACAGGTATTAATTATTAATAGTCAATGCTGTAAGGCTGAAAGATAAGTACTCAGGGGAAAATCTTTCCTAAAACTCAAATTGAAATATGCAAACAAATATAGGGGTGGCTATTTCCAGAAATATTAGCAATGACAAGGTGTTTATCTTCCCCTGACAGTCAGAGAGCATTAAGCACCTAATTGCTGTGTCTTTGAAAGTCTCCACAAATTATGAAGTAACTCCTCTGTTTTCTGGAAGATTCAGCTGAATTGTGTACACGTTTGCAATCTTCCACCAACAGAAGGTCACAGCAGAAATCTGAGCTTGTAGAAACTGCCTGTCACTTCCATGACCTCCATGTGAAAGCCTAGACTGCTTAATTTCTTGGTGTATTTCCAATCTGTTTTTAACCCATGAAGGTCGGGTCTTAGTGATACACGTTTGATTTTGGAAATGTTAGGTAAATCTGCATTCCTGGGAGTTTGAGAAATTTCCGTGTTTCCCCTCTTTCACTATTCACATGATTGGTATCAGGGTTTCATATTTGCAAATTTGCTTTTTTTAATCTCTAACTGCTTTGTTGTAATAGGTAATTAACTTCTCCAAACAGTTCTAAATGCTGATCTGGTCTGTGCTGATACTTCAGCTTGGTATTTCAAAAAGAAATATGAAGAAAATCATGTTGTGTTTCTGCCAGATGAAAATGTTGAATACTCTTAACTTTCAGTTTGCTGGGAGCAGTACAGCATGGCTCACTGTCCAAGTCCCCTTTTGCTGTCTGAATCTTCATCTAGGAGTGGCCTGATCCTGGTGGATGTGGGGTGGGGCTGTGGAAAGTGGACTTCTATACTGGTTTGTCTTAGTTTCCCATCTGTGAATTCATTCTGGATTATGTACCTCTAAACCACTGCAGACTGTATAAGAATTCTTAAATCAGATTGTCTTTATCTTTTTATGAGCAACTCTCAGCCCCCATAATTCAGAGTGAAACATATAAATAATTTATGTGTATTATCTAAAAAAAGAATGAAATGAGCTAGATATTTCTGGTAACTCAGTGAAACCGTCATTGCTGATTCAATTATGTTTCATCTTTTCCCCTAAAAAGAGAGATACTGGGAAGACAGAATAGGTAAAGAAATGTTGGAAGGCTGTTGTTGTGTTGTGGCTGTTGTTTGAAGTTTGAAGTTGTTGACTTTTTGTTTTCTTTGTACCAGGGTTCCATATCAGTCTCTCAGTGATAAGCGAACTTCAAATAGAAATACATTGCAGGGCTTATCTCCAGTACTACTGTAGACTATTTCTGTGTGAGTTTCTGAGCAACCATGGCACATAAACCACAGATATTGAAAATGCTCATTCAATGGTATTTGTTTTTTCAAAAGTTCTCTTCAGAAAACTGATTTGCAGTTACCCTGACTGCACCTGAATTCTTGAGGTGTCATAATTTTTAAAGTAATACTTTTCTGTCAGATATTAACATCTCCTACAAAATATCTACCCCTGGCCTTTCTCTGTAGTAGAATTGCTAAAGGCTATGAAGAGAAATGATAGCCCATGTTTTAGGATCCAATATTTTAAGTATTGGACATTTTTTAATAAATGCTACGTTTTCTTTTTGCAGTTGACCAAAGGGTTTTAGAGCTAGAATGAAAGGGTTAAAAATGAAATCCCTTAGTGCAAGGCCTTCCAGTGTTGAATGCTGTGCTTTTTGACCAGCTGCTTCCACAGCACAAATCTCATTTTACTGTGGAGATTTTTGCTTAAATGAAAAATACTAATACAAAGGCTGCTGGCTGTGGTCTGAAGTGGCACTTGAATATCAGCATGTTCTTTTGTCTGACAAAACATCCTCCTGAGCAGGTCAGCTAGTGCTAGCAGGGGATATGCTAAGGCTCTTAACTAAAGTGCGAGCCTAACTTATTTTCCTGCCAAAAGCATCTTTTCCTGTAAATTTATGCACCTACTAATAAGCATCCATACCTCTCTTCTGTATATTAGTTATGATTAGGTTATTGTGAACATTTCACAGAAAAGTGCAATCTTTTTCCCTTGAGATTTTTAGTTTTTGCTAGAAGAGAACAATTGCTTGTGTTTTGACTGAAGATATAGTACTTAGACATTCTTTAGTTTTAAGAAGCGTAGAAGACAACACCAATGAAGAGACAATGTTAAAGTTTCTGAATAGTCTTTCCTACTGTCTGATATGATCATTCTTCTGGAAAAAAATGTCTAAAAGTATAAGACTAAAATGTCTACTGCAAGCTGAGGACTACAGTCTGTAGTCCTTTAAATAGGTCTTCGAAATATCTGTCTTATTTCTATTCTCAGCTACATCTATTTTACAGGCACTGGTGATATCAAGTATGCTTATACAGTACAATTCCATTATGGAGGTGTTTTTCTCATTTATGTATGCCTCAGTGAAATAAAGTTCCTACTTCTCGTTTTTGGTACCATTTACATTTACAAGGCCATTTTTGATTGATATTAACCTCTGCTCTCTGCTTTGTCTTTTCAGCACTGGCTTGAGCCCAACAAGTCCATCTTCAAGCAAATGAAATGTAAGTCTTGAAAGCTCATGCTTTTAAACTTATTTTTAAATAACGGAAGGTTTTCTTGTGCTTCCATGCAGTAATTTAGAATAAGATTCATTTGTTTCTCAATGTAAACAGGTCCTTCATGTCAGCACATGAAGGAGTCCTAAAAACTCCATGCTATCCTGATCTTACCATCTTACAGTGTTCGGCAATCAAAGCTTTTCCTCACTGCCCATGGCTACAGCCAGAGGCCAGCAGACATGGGATGGCAGATCTAGTCAGAAGACCTGTGTGTCCCAGCTCTCATTTTCAGTCAGATGCCATCAGCCACTGGGAGATGGCAATAAAAATGGTGTGTGGCAATTGCTTCTAGGTCTTTTCTGGTTATCCTTCTTTCTGCTGCCCCTTGCTTCCTGAAAATGCAGAACACTGGCTTGAGATCATTGTTACTGTCCAGCAAACTCAAGTACCGTGGGCTAAGAAGTGAGCTTTCTGCTACAGGTAGGGGGGAACTTAAGATCAGTATTTTAAAAAGTGTCTTTAAACCAGGACTGCATTATTTTAATTATTTTATTGAAATGTTACTGTCTGGCCTATGGTTTCCATCAAATAGTCCAACTGTGAAGACCTCTTCAGGAAACAGAAATGCTTTAGCACTCAGAAGGTTATATGCAGCAGTTTATTTGGCAATTCTGGACAATTGCCATGGCTCACTAGAAGTTGTGTCTTAGCTGTCATCTATCTATCTATCTATCTATCTATCTATCTATCTATCTATCTATCTATATTCTGTCTTATGAAATGAAGGAGAATTTTATCCTCATATTGTTCATATACAGTTTTCTGTTTTAACAAGGAGCCTTTTTTTGTGGGAGATAATATATTTGCTTTAAAATGTAGTGAGGCTTAAGAGATTGTCTAATATGCAAAACCAGCTAATACTGGGTGTTGACTAGGAATTTCAAGGAATTCTTCCATTAATGCAGCCATACTAGAGTATATGCATGCATGTGTATATATGCCAATACTCATATATCTGGCATATTCAATATGAACTTTTATATCTAGTGTTTAGCCAGCTGGAGTACTATCCAGTAATAATTAAGTTTAAAAAAGTCAAATTAGAACGTAGTTGTTCTCCTCAGCAGTGCTAGTAAAGGAAGAAAAGAAGGAAGAACAGAAAAAGTATAAGAATTGTAAATTATCTGGATCTCTTGCTTCCTTCTAATGTGTTATCAAAAGTAGAACAGTTTCCTGAATGTATCTCCTGCATTTATGTTACTGCTTTTACCCAGCAAAGTATAAGGGCTCATTCCTCTTGTGCACTTTGCAAAGCAGCACATGCAGGGGCTCTGCCAACAGATGTGCTGAGAATGTTTTGATGTATTCAAAACAACCTTCCCTGCATATAGATGCTACCTAGATGTGATAGATGATAGCCCAAGAATTCCGTAGATGTAGTGATTTGATGGCCTCATCAGAGGATTTCTGTGGCTTTTGAGATAGAATCCTAATCAAAACTCTAAAAACAGATTAATATGTAGCAAAATGGCAAAATAAAATGCATCTAGCATGAGGTTGTTTATCATAGTGGAAAGGTCTTAAGAACAACTGCCAAAGAGAATGGATTTTTTTTACCAGCCTTAGGACACAGAAGTTGGATTAACAATTTACGTTTAAAAGTTGGATTGGCAACTTATATTTAAAAATACTAGTGTAAGTTAACTTCTCTTATGTCACAGAAGAAAGACTTCAGTGGCTACAATAACCCTTTAAGGAAAAAAAATAGAGCTATGTATATATATTTTGTACATGTGTAGAATACATGAAGATTATGCTCCCACAGGTTTCAAGGACATTTTTTGTATGAATTTGGCATCAAGAACCTTTTGACTTATGTTTCTAAAAATAGGCTATATTAAGGTAGAAAACCAAAAAATTTCTAAAGGAACAGGGTTAACTCATAGTTGATCTAGAAATATTTGGTTTACTATGAAAAGGTTTAAACTCAGAAGAAGAAATTATTGATACTCACTTGCAAAACTTTCCAGTGTCAGGTGGCACAAGTGAGGACTGGAATTAGTAGAAGGTTGAAAGTCTAAAAACTGAAGCAATGAAGTGACTGGTTAATAGCACATGTGTTATGTATACACAACTCCTGGGAGAAGTAGTGCAGAAAGCTATTCACAGTGACTGTAGTAAATGGAAGTTTCCTTTTATTTCTTTGCATTAAGGAATTCAGGAAAAAATGAAAAATTTTCTGTGATAATCTGTAATGACTCAAAAAGTTCGAAATTCAGTTGAATGTTTAGATTTATATAGAATTGTGAAGCACTTGCATACGTGCAGAAAAAATTTCAAAAATGTTTTGTTCTTGAGCTCAGCTACCATTTGTAGGGAGTTCCCTTTTCCTCCATCACAGCAGCAGCACGATTTTCAGTCTATTTATTCATGCAGCTCAATATTGACAAATATTTGGAGCAGAAAAAGTTTGACTAGTAGAAGTATTCTAGTATACATTTTATTGGGTACTATGCCTCGCATAACCGAAAGAGAGTAGGTTTAGATTACATATTAGGGAAAAACTTTTTCATGTGAGGGTGCTGAGGCACTGGAACATGTTCCTCAGAAAGGTAATAGGTGTCCTGTCCTTGGAGGTGCTCAAGGCCAGGTTGTAACCTGGTCCAGTGCAAGCTTGCCTTGACAGCAAGGGTTGGAACTCGATGATCTTTACAGTCTCTTCAAACCCAAAGCACTCTATGATTCTATGATCTAAAAGAGTAATGCTACAAGGATGTTCTCCTGTGCCAGGTCATTGGAATTTTTCAATTAATTTCCGTGATCTCTAATGCTGTCCTAAAACCTGAAAGGAGATGGAATGAACCAGGTTGATCTCAGCAGAAATGTAAAGAAAAGTTTAATCAAATGTGAGATTCATATATACATATATACATATATACATATATGCATATATACATATATACATATATACATATATACATATATACAAAAATCCATATATACAAAAATCCATATATACATATACAATGAAAAATTCATAAATACATATACAACGGGAGTTTTGTGTGATCCTTCAGACACTTATATGAATGCTGTGTATTCTATAATCCCCATGAATATTTCATAACAGCATTTTAAGCTTTATTATAAACACTTGACAAAAATCCACCTTGCCCTGTGTTGCTCTGTAACTAATGAGTGCAATGTGGGATAGCCCTAATTTGACATTTATGGTAGATCAGGTATCCCTTATGCATAAAAACACTGAGTAACGTTCTACCTGTCTTTAAAATGCTCAGCAAGGAATATGGATAAAGAGCTGATTCCTCTGGAAAGGAAACAGGCATATGGAAACAACTATGTACGTCTTAATGGTTTCCCAGAGATGCTTCTGCAGAGATAGTGAACATGAAGAATATTTGAGTGTAATATTTTTTCTTGCTTGTTTGTTTCTTAAATTTCACTAAATTTTTGTAGGAATCTGTAATTCAGAGAATATGTAACAACAAGGAGAGATGAAGGAAGTATTCTGCAAAGTTGCATTCTCAGGACTATGAAGATAATTTTAACACCTGCTTTTGGATTTCAGTATCCATGTGAAATTCATGTACAGATGTTCATGTACACTGACAGTGCAGTGCGTTATAGAACATAACATTTGTGCTTGGTGAAAAGGAAATTGTGAAAAACAAACTTTCCAAAAAGCATCAGCTGAGAATCTTCCATCTTTATCTATTTGGTTGACACTTGTAAAATTTCAATCAAGTTTTTCAACAGCTTTTAAAAACTATTTTCATCTTTCATAGTGTTGTGGTTTAACCCCAGCTAGCAACTGGCCTCATGCAGGCACTCTCCCAGTCCCCTACCATCAAGATCTCAGAGAGAAGGGTAAAAGCTGGAAAACCCATGGTTAAGACAAAGAAAATTTAATATGGAAGGGAAAAGCACACACAAGCAAAGCAAAACCAGATATTCATTCAGTCCTTCCCATGGGCAGGCAGGTGTTCAACCATCCGCAGGACAGTAGGGCCACACCACGTGTAACAGTGACTTGGGAAGACAATTGCTCCAGAAGTCTCCCTTCCTCTTTCTTTCTCCTACTTTATATATTGCACATGATGACATGTCATCTGGCATATTCCTTTGGTCAGCAGAGGTCATCCATCCTGTCTGTGTCTCCTCCCAAATTCCCATGCACTCATAGTCTCCTCACCAGGGTGTCAGTACGAAAAAACTTCTCTGTATTATCAACCCTGTGTTCAACACAAATGCAAAACACAGCCCCATACAAGCCACTGCAAAGAAAATTAACACTACTCCAGCCAAAATCAGCACACATAAATATTTTATTCTTTTTTCAGATTTTTTTGCTATGAAGAAAATGGTAATACAAATGTGTGGGGCTTTTTTGTAGGGTGGTTAAAAATAGCTCATGTGAGACTCAGTCCCTTACTTACTGATTTCTGTACCAAGGGAGGCATCTCCCATATTCCTCTTTGCTCTTGTCATGGTGTTGTAGGTTTGGGAGTACTTTAGGAAGATCCTTCCTTTTTGATGTACATAGAATACAGTATCTTAGTTAAATGTAAATGAAATAAAATTTTAAAACATACAGCCAGTTGCCTTGAAAACTATGCTCTGTGTGTAGCTCCTTCATGAGCATTTAGATCATGACTTGTTTCAACATTTAACATAATTTAAATTATTTTATTTGTACTTGTTCTTTCACATCTTACGTACTGTTAGCATATAAACTGGCAAATTAATGGTTCTGCTTCAATGGAGTTTGCTGTCGATACTATTCTCCACAATAAAGTCCTTTGAAATCATTGTAATTGTGAATGGTTTTTAGTGAGAAAGTGAACTCAGATAGCAGGAAATTCTGACAGAGCCTCAGGCATTTTGCTATGCCTGCTGCTTCTTATCTGAGAGATAAAGGACCCTCTGAAAGAAAAGACTTATAAGAAATAGCTACTAAAAAACTGATTATGTGACTTGATAGTTTTGTGTTGATGAAATGTGCTTCTGCAATTCTGCTCTATTTTGGGAAGGTTTGTTGTTAATGTCTCCACTTTAATATGGAAGTGGTCAAAAGTAATTTTACTTTCAAGGAATTGAGAAATTATCTGGCTTGACAATCACATCTCTTGAGCTGATAAAATTCGGTGATTGTCTTGGTTTCCGCTATGAGAAATCACAGAGAGAACATGAAGTCCTCATGCATGTTTCCCCAGTGTGGTAAAATGTATGAGAAAAAGGCCTTGCTAAACATTTACATATCATCAAATGCCTGTTTGGAAGAACATTAGGCTTATGATCTACCTTAAAATTAAGATGGATGGTAAAGTGGATATCTCTGGGAGTTCCCTTCTTCCCCATTCAAATGTTCATTGAGGCTGGTTTTCCAGCTGAGAATAAGGAACAGAAAAAGAGGCTCTCCTGTAATTGCAGGGAACCTTTTTATCTCCACAGATTAATTAGATGGATAGATTCATATTCTTTTTACCATTTCAAATTGCAAGTTGTTTTTGTTCCATTCTTGCACAGCAATAGAGAAGGGATCTTGGCTTAGCAGGCTGCAGCAGACTTGTATAGTATTGCTGCACCGCTGAGGAGGAATATTGTTACAGGAGCTTGAGTCTAGAAAAAGATTTGAGAAATAGGCTTTAAGCTGCCTTGACAAATCCCCTGCATGTCCTGTGCATTGGTGTGTACTTCTGTCACATACTGTTCTTCTGCTCAAGTAAAACATTTCCTACTTTAACCTTTCCTATGAATGTAGGCTATTTTTATAGTGCAGTGAATGCCATCATTTCCTCACCGTGATACTCTTTGTATATAGGGCAGCTGATACTTTTATGTGTTTACCATATACTGCCAGAACGAACTTTTATTTATTTATTTATTTTTACCACTGATAAATTTTCCATTTTTTTTTTTTTAATTGACATCTGGAAAATTGGGTGAAATTCAGTACATTTTTGAAGTCTTGCAGTAGGCTTGTATTTGCTATGGCCCTGAAGATATATGCATTAGCTATTCTTATATCTTCATCGCTATTTCCAAACTAATTCTAAATCTGCCAAAACATTTAAAAGTGAGAGGTTTTTTCCTTTGTTTTCCCCAGGGGAAGAGCTCTTGCTTGTTTAATACAGGTTGTCTCTCCTGCCACATTTTTAAACTGGAACAGTATTCCAAAATTTTCCTCCCTTAATAGTTTTAACATGACTATTGAGGAGTGACAGAAACATTTAAGATTACTTAAGTTATCTTTTGTTGTGTCCAGGCAACATGACTCCTTAGTGAGTTTCTGCATGGATGCTTTCCTTTCTGGGACAGTGAATTCACTTTACCTTCTACTTTGCTGTTGCAGGGCAGTTAAGACATAACAATGTCTTCTGTTTTGCAGTCACTGTAAGACAATGCTGCAGTCATATCTAGGACAGCAAAGCCCACACAAAACAGACTGAGTGTTTCTCTAGCTGTCAGACAGCTTCTCCAGATATGAAAACTGTGAAACTTCAAGCCATCTCTAGAGAACAACAAAGGCTTAATTTTTTTTCTTAATTTCCCCTTAATTTCTGTTTATTATTGATTACTTGCTTTTTTATTTTCCAGTATTTTTCATATTTCCATTCCTATCCCTTCTGAAATTCCTCCTTGTGTCTTAAATTAATAGTTATTTAAACAAGGAAAAAAATTAAATCAGCAGTTTTTGTGGAAACTGACTGTACTTAAAATAAGTACAATGTGAGATTTTAAAAGAGGAAAATATTCCTTTATCTTCAAGAAAATAAAGGAATATTTTATCCAAAAGACATCAACTGTAACAAAAGATTTAACTCATTTTTATTTTCTATTGCTGTTGTGCATCACATGGAACTGTGTGATATCTAGGGATGTGTTTCTGAAACACTGCAGCATACACGTAGATACTGCAGTCAGAGTAGCTTGAAGAGTATCATGATTGTTGAACTAATCACCACATGAAGTTTTTACAAGCCTTTGAACTGGTGAGCTTAAGAAGGTGGTACAGTAAAATGTTCTAGTAGCTTACTAATTACTGTTACAATTTACAATTTAAAAAAGAAATTAATGATTTCACCTGGTAATGTCTTCCATTTTCTCTGTAATTTTTTCTTGCCCTTTTCTTCTGCTTTCCCTTTCCCTGCCATAAAAGCACAATCTTTTCAAGGTTTTGGAAATTTAAAATTGTCTGTGTACATTGAGAATATACCAAGACCAAAATATATTAAAACTAACTAGAATATTGTAGATCTGCACTTTGCTCTAAATCGAGAGGCACTGATTGCAAAATTGAAATATTTCCTGTTATTGTGATTCTTTCCTCTTTCTCCTTTCTCCTTTCTTTTTCCCCTCTTTCTTTTGTATTGGAAGGATTGTACATCAGGTCTGGCATTGATATCATTGCTCAGAGTTGGGTACTATAATCTTATTAAATACTGGGAACAGAAATGCTTCTACTGTCTTTAGTTTCATTACCTAAATGGTTTCTTCAATTTTGTAGTATTATCATTGCTTACTGCTTATCATTTGCCAAAAACGACCACCCCAAAATAAAGGATATATAATAATGCCCTTGTTTGAATCTCTGCCTAAACTAACCATTAGTAAGTGACTTTAAGGTCACTCCTTCAGAGTGGCTTAAGCAATGTTTGTTTTCTATGGTTCTCATGTTTTTTCTTTATAATGTTTCAGCTCATCCACCATATACCATGTGCTTTAGAGTGAAATTCTATCCACATGAACCCTTGAAGATTAAAGAAGAGCTCACCAGGTATTTTTTTGTTTTGTTTTGTTTTGGGCTTTTTCCTTTTTTTTTTTGGTCCTTTTTTAGTCTGTGCATTTAATGTGCTTTGCTAATAAGTTCAAGAAAAGGCAGATTGTTGTCTAGGGTACGGTTCTCACTATTTCTGATAAAATTAGCATAGGCTGGCATTTGCAATACTGATCTTCTTTGTACTGTGATACCTATAGATTTTTAAAGCAGTTTAAAGGAAGTCTTCTATAACATACAGACAAGTAGTTATGCTATACAAAAACTTGCAAAAAATGAAGCAATGGTGAAATGACTGGGCAAAATTTACCCTGGTTCTTTCCCTGGCAGGGATAAGTTCCCTTCCCTTCCCTTCCCTTCCCTTCCCTTCCCTTCCCTTCCCTTCCCTTCCCTTCCCTTCCCTTCCCTTCCCTTCCCTTCCCTTCCCTTCCCTTCCCTTCCCTTCCCTCTCTTGCTTTCTTTTTTCTTTCCTTCCCTTCCCTTCCCCCCCCCCCCCCCCCCCCCCCCCCATAATCTGGAAAGTTTAATTCAGACCTGACTATTTCAAGACGTTTATGCATAGTCTCACTTATTTTTCTCTTGGGTGTATCTTTAGAATCACAAATAAGACAATCTTTTCAAAGTAGTGACAGACCTTAAGCTGATACAGAGGTGCAATATATGCATATTTTTCAAGTACAGCTGCTCTGGAGGGTAAGAATTCTTGCTGCTTATGTTGGAATTTTGAAAATTTTATTGTGAAAACAGAGTTGTACAACAGCTTAGCTGTGTTTAATGAATGGGAGCTCTGCTCTTCCTACCGGCCATTGTGAATATTCTGTTGCTCTGGACACAAGAAGTGTACGTGGTGGGGGGAAATGCAGGAAAGTAGCTCTTTTGAGCTCTGTACCAGCTGTGCAGGACTGTGTGTGTGCTTTACCACCTTGCTGGAGAGCAGGCACGCTGCTGACTGCTGGCTGCAGCTGCAGAAGCACCGAGTGCCTCAGCACCTGCTGCCTTGGCTCTTGGTTGATTCTTTCCCCAAGCACTGCATGTGCTTGTGCTCACAAATCACAGTGTGGGGATCCCATTGTCACTGGCCTCACACTGAAAGTTTCAGAAACAGGTTATGTTCTGCTGAATGGTACATTTGTAGTTTGTATAAAACAGCTGGGACATGCTGTTATTTTATAGCTATTTATCTTGGATGAAATACTGGAACTGTACAGCTGAGTGAACAGGTTGTAAACCAGGCAGTCAATGAATTTTCAATATTTGCTACTGTTTGTCCTTGGATGAACATTTTACCTTTTATGATCAGAGTACGATTGTATAGTCCTTTCTCATTCAAGAATCTAAATTAATTGGCTTTTAAAAAACTTGGCTATCCTCCCAGGATAAATTTTATTGAAATATAAAGAATTCGCTCACTGATAGTTGTTGTGCTGTGAGTATGTTTTAGTCTTTACTGGGATATTTCAAATAAATTTTTCAAGTGAAGTTGTTGTGCGACAAATGTGTTACAGTCTTTTATAAAAACTAATACCATTAAGAACTTAAAAAGGAGAAATAATTAGAGGCATCATTTATTCAAAATGTTTTTGTATCTGATCATCTTAATAGTTTCTCAGTGTTGTTATTTGAGAAGCTTTGCTTCATCTCTGCCATATGTCTTACACAATAACAAAATACAAAAAATGCTCCTGAAATGAGCAAGTGAAGTGCAGTCATGCAACCCATCTCTGAGAATTTACTTCATGACCAAAGCAGAGGGTCAGATTCTATGTGATGCTCTAGATTGGCTGGAGTTATTTTTCTTTTTTCTTGAATTGCAATGATTGGTGAAATTCAAGTAGAAGAGTGTTCATTAGCATTTTAGAGAGGACAATTGTGAAACCTTGAGGACTAGTTCTTCTAGTTCTCCATGAACTTCTATTTCTTCTAGAGGCTTCTTGGTAGACTTTTGCTTTGCTTTTTTTTTTTTTTTTTTAGTGCTGCTGTGTTCACTTGACAATCATATTTTTGCTGGGTGTTCTTAAGACGTTTTGAAAAGAAATTAATAATATTTTCACCCTTTGACTTAAAAACCATCTGTACTTTGCAGCTGTATGTACAGTCAACTGAGTGAGAGTAATAGTGTTTTGCATTTCTGTCATTGTCCGTGCCTAAGGATGTCAGAGCTGCTCTATCACTTCTTTGGCTGGGTGGAAATCTGATGGGTGTCTGTGGTCCCCATTTAAATAATGAAATTAAGTAAGACATTCTATCACATTGCCATACTACTCTTTGTTTCAGAACATCGATTAACCCTGTGGTTAATGCCTCATATGGATTATGGTCAACACAGTCTTTTTAAAAGCTTTATAGGAATAAATCTTTAATGAAGCATCTTAGAGACATCAGAGAGACTTACAGGTCTTAAAAAGAACTGCTGTTCCTACTCTTCTATAGAAAAAGCTGATGTGAAAAAAATCATCTGTTCAGTGCATGAAGCTTTGTGTCTATGGGGTAAAGGTATGGTTTCTGTGAAACCAGTTTAACATACTATTCAGGATTTAGACATCACTTGCAGCAAGAAATTTTAAGAGTTTTCCCCTCAGATTACTGATGCTTCATTTCTGTCCTACCTTGGGCCCAACCTTCCCTGGTTGGGTTTGACTGTAATCCTTGACTTACTCTGTGGTTTAAAATGTGAAACTAGTTTCAGAAAATGAAGGTGGAGAATTATCTATTTGAAGTTATCACTATGTCTATGATATCATAGAAAAAAACCCTGTAGTAGTCTGAAAACTTGTGCACACTGCATGTTTGGAGGCCAGGAGTGCCTTGGGCAAACAATGATGCTGTGTTCTTGCCTGTCACTGCATTTTATAACACTGCTAAGGACAGCTAAGAATATTGTCAGTCAACATTGTACCTTTCCAGCCACTTATTTTTATCTTCTCTTGTTTTAATTAACAACCATTTTCATAGCTATGTTTTTGAAATAAAATCAGTGTCTGCCTTTGGATGTCAAGGCATTCTGAAATATTATTGTTAAAGTATTGGTTTCTCTGGGTCTGGATTAAAGGCATTTGAGATGGTAGATCATGTTTGGACTCAGGTGTTTATTATTTCTTATCAGTGAAACAGTCTCACTACTGTGAGTTGGGCAGCTTTTCATTAGCAGGCACAAAATGGCTAACAATCTCTTCTTACAAGGTCTTTTAGACTAAACTATCCAGTTAAGAACTGACGCCTAGATTATTTTCCCTTTTAACCCAATAACTGATCCCACAGAGCCCACAATGCAGATGTTTCTGCCCAATTACAAAATGCCACCCAAACCCACAAAGAAGAAGGAAGAAGAAGCGTGAAGAAGAAACCCAGGATGATGCTCTGTGCCCTCCATCTTGCTTCCATCCACAACATACTAAAAATCCCAAACCCTAAATTTCTCACCAAGTGATACACCTACACTACTCTCTATAATCTATTTCACACTTCTGTGGATTCTAGTCTATCTTGAAGTGTAGGAAACTTCCTCCATGAATGAGGGTCAAAGTCAGTGCTCCCTGGGGGTCAGGGCACCCCAGAGCAGACAGAGAAATATTCCTGGTGCCCTGGGTTTCCACACTAAAGGAGAATTTCTGTGGAAAATATTTCTGCTTCTCACTGTGGAAAGGAGGATCTGCATGATCCTTGGTCACTGTTTTCTCTAGAGTGAGCTGGTGTTAGAATGGTAATTCACAAGTTTAGAGGCCATGGGGGTTGTTGCCTTGATCTCTCTTGCTTTTGTAGTAATAGACTGCCTGAAACCCAACTTGTCACTGAAGTCAAAATCTTAATGCACTTCAGGGCTTCTCAGCTCATCTGCTTAATGGATGTCAACATGGATTTAGAAGATCTGTCCTTATTTTTGGAAATAGTTTCCACAGCAGAGCACTAAGGCTGCACATTTGAAACACGTTTGAGGAAGACTCAAGACACACCTTTTCTTTTTTAATTCGGCAATTTTCCCAATGAATTAAAAAAAAAATGGGATGAGAAAGTGGCAAGGATTTAACTTATTTTTCTCAAATGATTTGGCCTCTGCATGTGCACTGGAGGCTCAGCAAACTGAAACACAAGCAGTGTATATATACTTTTCAATGGTTTGTATAATCTTTTAAATAATCTAATAATCTTAAAAATGCCTTCCTCCCCACCCCTGTTTTTCCCAACTCTACCTACTCCTTCAATGGCACAGAGAAATGGGTTATGGGTTATGGTCAGTTCATCACAAGTTGCTTCTCCTGCTGCTCAGGGAGAGGGGACCTTTCCCTCCTGCACTGCGGGAGACCGTTCTCCATGAACTTCTCTGATGTGAGTCTATCTCACAAGCAGCAGCTCTCAGTGACCTGCTGCAATGTGAGTCCCTCCCCAAACTGCCACAACCTGGGTCACTCTTCCACAGGGTGCAGTTCTCTAAGAACAGGGGGCTCCTGTCTCCACAGGCCTCCCATGAGTTCACAGCCTCCTCAGGCATCACAGAATTAACTAGGTTGGAAAAAACATCTCAGATCATCGAGCCTAAGCTATGACCTAACACAACCTACAGTCAGCTAGACTATAGCACCGAGTGCCACATCCAGTCTTTCCCAAAACATCGCCAGAGATGGTAACTCCACCTCCTCCGTGGGCAGCCCATTCCAATGTCCAGTCACCCTTTCTGAGAAGAAATTCTTCCTAATGTCCAACCTAAACCTCCCCTGGTGCAGATTGTGTCCTCTTGTCCAGTCACTGGTTGGCTGGGAGAAGAGAACAAGCCCCACCTGGCTGCACCCTCCTTTCAAATAATTGTGGAGAGCAATAGGGTCTCCCCTGCTCCTCTTTTTTCCAGGCAGAACAACCTCAGCTCCCTCAGCTGCTCCTTGAAGCCCTTGTGCTTTGGACCTTTCACCAGCCTTGTTGCCTTTCTCTGGACACTTTTGAGCGACTCAATGACCTTCCTGAACTGAGTGTCCCAGAACCGGACACAGCACTCAAGGTGTGGCATCGCC